TGAAATTTTCTAATAAGTTTAAGGCTTCTGTGTATTAATGTAACAGGACAGGTTAGTACAAGTTTATAAGGTTAATAATAATTGGCAAAAAAAAAGGAATATAACGTCAACTGAAACAATAAGCGTCGAAAGTTCTTCAGGAAGATAGTAAACACTTTTGACAAAGCAAATGTGCTAGACTGTTCTTTTCCACTGAAGGAACATCAATTAATAGGAAAGAAATTTTTCACAATAGCATAGTTTGCATCTCGTATAAAACATTGATTGTAAGCAGTTCATTTTCGTTTCTTACAATGAGGATAAAAGAATGAAGAAGAGAAAAATTAATATCTAGAATGAAGCGTGAGAGACCATATCATTTGACTTTCGTGAAAGTCAAAACGAATGATTTAGTTTTCTGGAACGTATATTACGTCTGCAAATAGAACTCAGCAACTTTAGTGACACTGGAAGAGTCTTGAATCAATTTATGTTTATTGATCTTCTTCTCCCAATTGCCGTCGTTTCAAAAAGTTACTTTTCCCAGCAAGGAGCTGATGAAAAACAAAAAGATGTGATTTTCTATTTGAGATTCTGCGCTCATGTCGACTTTAAGACTTTTAGAAAGCCTACGCATGTATGTGTGTAAAATCCGAGGTCAACAATTTCATTCTCTGATTGTTGGTGAACACTTTGCCAATACTAATAGATTATTAGAATGATAATTCTGATTCAAAAAAATTTATAGCAAACTTATGTTCTTTAAGTTATTTAGCCTTACTGAGTGCGAAATAATTGAATCAATATCGAGAAATAAAAATCATATTATTAGCTTTAGCGAAAGATTACCTTATACCGATGATAGGTATCCGTGATTGCGTTGAATTATGTGCAAAACATTCCGAAGAGAACAAAAAATTGTTAAGACATCAAGATTGTCAAGAATGCGATATACCAATTCAACTGGTAATGTGAGAAGAGGTGGAGTAGCAAGAGTAGGGCATCAGTATTGTCAGTTAAGACAAAATTAATATCTCATTCAAAAGTAGGTTTGATTCGAGCACGTGCATACTTTATAAAAATTGTTTTTTTTTATGGTTTTATATGATTTTGCAAGTTCTTGTTTGCAGTAAGAATAAAAAAGTGACGTTATTAGGTAAAAGGAGTATATCTATGATAACTATATGACATCACACATTCTTACCTGTGACGGAATCTGCCATCTTATGCAGGGTGTGAGTGTGAGTGTGCGTCTGGATGTAGATTGTAGACTCTCTCTTCACTAATGCCCACATATTCACATCCAGACTCTTTCTGTGCGTGTGAATTTCAGTGCATTTCTGACTATCTGAAATCCGTAATAGAATATATAAATTTTGAGACATTCAGATATTCAATTATTGAATTCTATTTTTAGGTTAGTCATACATGATACCAACACATCCACAGCAACACCTACTCACATCTACCTCAATAACTAAAATTAATGCATTTACATTCGCAAACACTAATGTTAACGCAGAAACGCAAAACGAAACCCACGTCTACACTGAAGCAAACAACCATGCCAGCACGCATATCGACGCTCCATACCCCACAATCTACACCCAGATTTCCGTTCAGGCATGTCATGAGCTCCAAGCCTTATAGGTCTTCTTACTCTCAGTGACCTCTACTCACAGTCAAAGGATGAGATCGAACGGCTTTCAACAGTTGGATATGTTTCCTCATCAGTACAGAATATTAACGTATACACACGAATATTGTCGACCAATGAGTAAACTTTGATTAATGATTCATTTCTAAAGAGACACTTTTGACTTTAATCGATGCCGGAGAAAACATTGAAAAAAAACACATCTTCTAGTTGAAATGTTTTGCGAAAAGTAATTTGAATTGAAAAAGATGAAAAACTTTCAATCATTTGAATTTCTTGATCGAATACTTAAGAATGAACAAATATCTTCTTCTTATGTATAATTATTTCGGAATAAAAATTGATAAAATCTTATTATGAATCAACTGCGCAAATAGCTTGGATGTCTTTAAATATTATTAACTCTTCACACATGTGAATTCTTTGAAAAAACAATTTTCAAAGATAGATTAAAATATTAATTGCTAACACTTTATTATTCTTATTCATCGTATAATAGTGTAAAAGTAGATAAGAATAATAAATATGCATCACAATGCCTCTTCTTCATCTTCTTACTCTGTATTCGTAGAATAAGATAAAACTGTTTTGAAATGAAAATTATTCATTCATTTACATGGAATGTAGGCAACTATGCGATGCTTAAAAGCATTACTTTTATTTTCAATCTTAGAAGTTAATTACAAAAAGTATTCTCCAAAAACATAGTGAAACTACTCTGAAAGCATTTGATTGAATAGACCAATATAGTAGATTACTGAGAGATCTATTGGGTAGAAAATGAAATGAGAACATAAGAATTCAAACTTTTTTAGTTAATCAAATATTTTTTAGAGTCTCTTTCTATGATTCATAATGCATTTTGATATGTGTCTGTCTTCTATTGGTGAGAAAAATGAAAAGAATCATGCTGAAACGTTTGCATATCACCCCGGAGTGGTTTTGAAGGGTAGGTGTTCGATGAATAAAAATGGCATATTCGGATTCAGCGTGATCAGTTACCCCCGTCGCCGTCGAGATCTCGAGAGGGTACCTCTGACCGTAAGCCAAAAATTTTTTGACAAAATTCAATGCAAAAAACACGTACAGAACAGAAAAAAAAATATCGCTTCGCACTGGATTCGAACCAGCTTCGCGTTATCCACGCTCTTTAGCCACTCAGCTATATGCGAATTATTCTTATTCTGTTCTTTTTCGCACGTCCTTCTTAATTTTTTTTATTTAATCTTCACTGTTTTATTCACCGAACACCTACCCTTCAAAACCACTCCGGGGTGATATGTAAAAGAAACACTTTTATGAGTTTTATATACAAATGAATCTAATTCTGTACTTCTTACATCTCTCCTTTCTGTCCATGTAAAAGTAAAAAAGATATTTACTCAATTGAGCGTTGAAATTAACGACAAAAGTTGTGTTAAAACAAAAATCAACGAGGTTTCACGAAGCATACTTCATTAACTTTCGTTAGATTTCATAAACTCGTGAAAACGAGTTAGATTTCTCATGCTTTTTCACGTGTGTTAGTTTTTTAAACGGTAACCAACTCATTTTATCTCGTTAAATGTTGCATTCGTATGATAATTTAATTTTCCTACTTGGGCTATGTACAATCTGTATCAGTATGTAGATTGACGTGAATTTCTGTGTTACTTATTTCTGAGTTCCATTTTCTATTTGGTTTGCATGACACAGTTATAAGCGCACTTAAGAAAACGTATGTAACTAACTTATTGTTCCCGATAGTTTTTATCTGAGAACAAATTAATTCTGAAACTAAAAAAAAACTAGTAGAACAAATATAGAGGTACAACGATAGTATAGCTCTACAGCTGAGTGAATGTATTATTTTTTCTCAAAGTTCAGAATATTTTTATTTAGCGTGACTTGTAAGTTTTAGAGATCCTTGACTATTAAGTTGAGATGAGTTGATTTTTTTCACTTAAAGAATTTACCTCTAATATGAAAATATGACTTGTTCATCTCTAGTAAATAGGTAAATTAATATACTAAGTTGAGAGGAAGGGTATAATTAAATTATATTAGGACTTTTCATTTCTCTTATTGTTCAATTTATCGTACGTATTGTTTTATCAATGATGTTGATCGCTGAAGATTCTCATGACTATAAAAGCATGTATCAGATGAAGTGTATATATGTATACAGTAACTAAATATGTATGAGTATTTGATCTTACACATGTTTTTATACTAACTATAGCCTAAAAACATCAGAATCGCGGACTATGCACCACGTGAAATAGAATTAAACTATATGAAGAGAACAATTTGTCAAAAATTAGTGCAATGCATAAGCTGAAATATATATTATTGCTCAGAAATTCTCATTGTTATACACTTCAAGTATGACGAACTTCTTTCAATAAGCGATGTATTTCTAAGTTTCATTCGTCTCAAGAGAAAAAGCTAGGTAATCAGTTCAATATCGAATGTGCTTTCTAATAAGATGCTTTTAAGAAAACTTAATTGTCAATACAATTATTTCATAATAGACATTCAAACCAGCATGGAATTACATTAAATTTTTTCTTTTCGCAATACCTCGAAATTTAAACTAGTAATTGTCTTATCATTTTGGTCATGCTATGAAATACTTTTCTAGTACGTACACCAAGGCNGGTATTGAAAATTGATTCATTAGTATTATTATTATTATCACAAGAAAATTTATCAACGAAAAGGGAGTAGTTTCCAACACATATCAAATATAAATAAAATCACAAAAGTTTATATAGAAAATGCATTTGATATTGGAGAAATGAAAGATTTTCATTAAATTTTGTCCACGGACGAATTATTTATAAATCAATGTTATTAATAATATTCATATTGAAGTAGTTTTAAAAGAGTTTTTAATTAAGCTTATGAATCATGCCAATCATGAACTTTGTTGTTTGTGTTCTTGATGATAAAATGATCAGATGTTTAAAAAATAAAAAAACTACGTTCTTGATGATACAATTCAACGTATATATGATAAGATTCATCTACAATGGAAATGACTCTATATTACTAAACATTATTGTTCATTTTTTTTTTTCATGAAAATTTAAAAGTATCTAGATATGTTTTCTTGTTCTATCATGATCCTGTTTTTGTCAAAAATTTATTTCATAGAAACTTCTTAAGTAAAGATTCATTCTACTGTCATTAGGCTGCGCAGTTCATTTCAAATATACGAAATGATTACTCAATGACCATTGACTTTTTCTTTTCTGTCTGAAATTGACCTTATTAGCGTGTGTTTTCTTTTTTTTTTCTCCTTCGCATATAAAAGTCTATTGAAAATGTTGAAATGATGAAAAATATATATATGTTTCTCAAGCATAACGATACAATAGATATGAACACACTTAAACGAAAACTAGTTTTCAATGAAACATTAGATGAACCAACAAAGATATATCGAAGTAAGTTATTTATCTAATGAAAATAAGATTATTGATATATTTATTTGAATAGATCAATCAATAACCTCTATTGAAGATTTATCAAATGAAATTTTTTATGAAATATTTGATTATTTCGATGGTGGTGAAATAGTTAAAACATTTTCTAAACTTAATTCTCGTTTTCAACAACTTCTTCATTCTTCATCAATTTTAATTAAAACACATTTTTATTTATTTTATTATCAAGAAATGATAAATAAAGATCATAAATTAGAAATATTCTCAAATAAATCATATTCTAATTTAAAAATCTTATCTATTAGTTGTTCACAAAATATCATTTTTCTTGATGCTCATCGATGGGAACAATTTATTTTACATTATTATCCTCAATTAGAAAAATTCTATTTCACATATTATGATCGTATTGATAATGATAATCAATATGAAATATATTCTGGACGAATAAATCAATTTTCAATATCATAAATTTAGATAATAATTCTATCATATGATTTAACATTTCAATAGAAATTGATCTTTGACAAATTTCTAAATAATAAATCTGTGTTTCAATTAAAACATAGTTAAGAATTGTGAATAATGATTCAACACAAGAATCAGAAGTAATATTTGTAAATATCAATTGAGTAGAAGGGATTATTTCTAATATATTTGTAAGGACAAATTGAATAAATAATATCTTCAATATCAATAACAGTTTCAAAGATCCATATTTTCTTTCAATTGAAAATGATGAAATAAATTCATTTGATTTTCCATGATGTTTTGGCACAGGGGTGCAGAATCAACCTGTAGGCTGCAGTGGCGCTGCTGGAAAAAACGAGTCTTTTGGGGAAATTTTGGGATATTGTAACGGATACACATTTAAAGTCTAGGAAATTTTTTTGAGTTTGTGTGTCGTGCTGTCGTTGGAAAGCTCCAGCAGATTCTGCATCCCTGTTTTGATATTTCATTCGTCATAATCGACATATTTCATTATGTTTGAAATTAAATACATCTAATTTTAGTAAATATTCGAAAATTACTTGTTCCTATTCACGAGCAACATCAAGATAATTCACATCTTCAGATGTAATATTAACATGTAGAAATTTCAATTTTGAATTCATATTCTTCATCAAAATTTCGAATGTATTAAATTTCATCGAATCTATATATTTATAGTAAGATGTACTAAATTTAATAATATGATTATTATTCGAACCATCATTATCATCATCTGTATGAGTAAAAATCAAACAACGAAGTTGAAGTAAATACGAAAATGAGAGGAGCAAGGTCATCGAAAGTACAATGAATGAATGAACAATAATTAAATATATAATAGGGCTGATTTGTTTTTCAGCCGAAATAGGTAGTGAAAATAATGAATCTTTTTCTTCAGGGCAGTCTGAGATATAAAATTTTCTTAGTTTTGATAAAGTAAAAACCATGTGAATAGTTTATAATGGAAGACGAGGTAAAGCAAATAAATTATTCAGAAATAATCTAAACGTAGATCGCATATCATACAATTAAGTTCAAGTAGTGATTCAAGTCGAATAAATAAAGAATTGATAGTCAATAAAAAAAACTCTTGATTCATTTCTAATGGAAGTTTTATTTGAATAGAAAAGATTTGATGTTTATTTAAAAGCATTATTTGTTTATAATTATTCATAAAGTTTTACTTTCGATTTTGAAGCATTCAACTAGTTTTTAAATAAAAGAGATGATGAATTAATCAATTGTTGAAAGCAATCATAAATTGTCGAATTCCCTTAAACAATGACTACATGCATTTTACACTGATTTCTATTTCTCGTTATGCCTTATATTACAAGATCATGTACTAAATGATAGGATTTCTTCTTCTCTCTTACGAGGGAACCATCCGAGGTGCTAAAAAGCTTTTGAGCTGAAATTTTGCCCACAAGTCCTCGTTAGAAAGCATTCGATAACCATATGATGAATAAATATGTAAAATATAGATTTTCTTATGTTTAGTAGACAAGTTTATTTCGCTGCTTTAATTTCATTTCAGCTACAGTAAAATCTCTATTAGTAAACACTTCCCATTTTTGAATAAGGTCTCGGTCCTATGAAACGATTTTTCTTGAAAATACAACTTCCATAGATATATTTCCAAATGATCCTTAATAGTTCTGAGATAAGGATCATTAGAAACATATCGAGACTGTCTATAGAACGAAATGAAAAAATCGATCGTTGCTCACATCCTTAACAATGATGTTGATTGAGCCACTTCATGACTTCAATTGTGTCTATTTCACTGTATAAACATTCTTCTAAAGCGCTCACAAATAAGAACACTAAAAGAAATAGACATTATCAAGATTAACAACAATTAAGAAATTATATTCAAAAGAGAAAATAATGAAAGAGAAGGTAATGGTCATGAACCATGACATTTAGTCTATACTGACTCATATTATTTTGATAAGATCTATTAGTAAAACATGTCGAGACGAAATCATCGACTATTTCAAAGTTAAATTCAATTGAAGATTTCGTGATTATGTGTGAATACTTGCTTTCAATATTCCGCACTTTTATCTTTTGAAAATAAAAACGATATTCTAACATTTAGTTTCTATAAATTTTCGTCAAGCAATCATCAAACAAATTTTTTTCGAATTCTATTGAATGATTTTTTCATATCATTTTCTATTATTATTATTATTATTATTACTCTTTATACTTATCAATGCAAATGAACAATATCATATTGGTATTATAAATCATAATACTCAATGGTATATTCATTGTCCACAAAATAATACACGAATAATAAATCCTCCAATTAACGATCAACCATTAATACCCTATCAATGTCCATATCCATCATTATCACTTGATATTTTACCAATTGAAGTTGATTTTACATTTATTTGTCGTTTACAATCACGATTAATATGGATTATTGTTGATTTATATCAATATAATCTGTGGTCATGGCCAATAAATATTCAACAATTAAATATTTCAATAAAACTTAATCAAAATATTCAAATAAAAGATTATAAAAGTGAAACAACGAATTATACAAATCGTTTTATTATAGTCAATGCATTTTATATTCCATTTGAATCTTTTGAAATATTATCAAATGAAAAAATTGAAATTTTAATTGAAATCAATCAATGTTCATTTTATATAAATCAAAATTCAACATGGAATGATATTATTCATAAAAATTGTAATTTATTTGAATCAAAAACTCTTCATGTTCATTATAGTTATTGTGATTTTTTTCCAAAGTTAGTCATGCAAAAAAAAATCCTTAAAAGAAAGATTTTCGTATTTTAGGTTAATGCCTATTGAGACAAATCATGAACTTGAAGTTGAAATTTTCGATGATACTACAACTCATATACCTGATTTTAATGTTATTTTATCAGTTGATGAACAACACACAATTGAATCAACAACACGTTTTACAGATTATCATTTAGTATTTGATGAACATTACCAAAAAATTTTAACAAATTTAGTAATCATAAGAAAAAATTCGAATTTATCAATATATATATTTATATTTACAATAGTTATTTTAATTTTATTAATCATATTTTTTATTTATATGCTTTGTTATCATTATCGATCGAATCGACAATCATCGTCATTGATTTAGAAAATTATATTTCTTTTAATAATACAATTTATTATTAGCGTAGCAATTTTTATTCGAAAAAAGAAAACAAATAATAAAATTAATCTTACATTTTCAAAGCTATCTTTCCAAAACATCAGTTTTATCCAGAGTTCTTCTTATTCACGAAATTTCTAATATATACTAACTATCAATAAACCAATCATGCACAGAAAATAGATCACAAGGGTAAATTATGGTGGCAAAAATATATTGCCACAAAAGAATAAGTCTGCTATAGTGGTTGTATAACTTGTTATACTAGCCGTGAATAACTTTTCTTAGACTAGTAAACTTTTCCTATTCTTAAATTGTCTAAAAAGTCGATTGATGAAACTTCTGTTACTCTGACTTTGACTTCTATTTGAAAAATATTATTTTAAATATGAGTGCAACATTTTTCATTGAAGAAATAACATAAGTCTATGAACTGGTTTTATTTATCTGATTATTGTTTAGATGTTCATCATTAATCATAATACATGAAGTAAACTGAATGAACTTATCTTTGATTTGAATCGTTAATCATACGTACGAATACATCAATATCAACTCATATACATGATTATCAAAGACACTGATCATTTTATGTGTGAATATTAAAAACCAGGATATCTTTATTCTTAGAGTTTCAACATATTAAAGAATATTTTTAAAAAAATACAATGGATGTAACAAATCAAAGATGGCAGGAGTATACCTCTTCTCGAATAAATGATTCGTTATTTTTTTAAACAAAGCTAATTTGCAATAACCAATATTTTCTAAGTTTTATTTCATTGACCAGTGGTCAATATGTTTATCCTTCTAAGTATTTCTTTTTTTCTATTTCCACTCAATATTCAATCACTTATTTGTCCAGTTTATAATGTATTCAATAATGAAACTAGTATAATTAATTCATGTGATAAAAATTTCTCATTATGTACATATATTACAACACAATTAAATTATCGTCGTTGTCTAGGAATTTATACATTTGATAAAAATCTAAAAACAAAAAACACTTTAATTTCTATTCGTCAATTAGCATTAGTTGATGATTTTGAAGAAAAATATTCAAATATAACAGAATGTATTCTTGACGTTGATAAAACTGGTATTAATCTATTATGTCGATGTAATTCAAATAATTGTACATTAAAATGGAAAACAGCTGAAAATTTAAATCAGAAAATATGTCTAAAACATAAATCAATTAAACAATATGAACATAATAAATGGTTTCTTTCATTAATGATTATACTCTTTATTGCTATTATTATGTTTATTAGTATAATTATCATTATTATAATTATAAAATATAAATGGTATAAAAAAAGATATGAAAAAGATGATCGATCATTTTTAGCAAATATATCATGTGCATCAACAAATATTTCAAATACAGAAATCGATGAATTTTTATCATCAAATCCTACTTATCAATCAATTATAAATCATGGAAAAAATAGTATTATTTATCGTGCATGGACAACAGAAAAAGATAATTTACAACATGAGAAAAAACTTGTTGCTGTTAAAGTTTATCATTCACAACAATATAAAAATATATTTGAAAATGAAGTACAAATTCTAAGAATGATTCATCATTCTGCTATTGTTAAGTAAGTCAAGTGAAACATTAGTAGTTCTTTGGTTGATTCTCTTGAAGTTGATGATTATTGTAGCATATACTATGTATCTATGCTCCCAACAGAATCGTCATTCGCTTTTCGGAAGGAAAAATCTGGATAAAACACTGGAGAGAGAGAGAGATGCGAATTTCTATTCATTTACCTTTAATATTCGTTTTAAATTGTATTTCACAAAAGTCTATCATAGGAATGCCATAATTGCTGAATTGTGTTTATACGTAGAATTTGTAAATAAAATGTTCGAAAAATATGAGACTCGCATCTTCAGTGTGATATGAGTGTCTTGTTGAAATTCAATATCTCGTGAAAGAAAAGAGTTTTGAAGTTGAAATGTTCAAGGCATTCTAGTTACAATTAGATCTATCTATAGATAAGACTGCATGCCGATATAACATCAATCGATTTGTTTGTACATACAATTTTTCATACCTCAGTGAAGAGTATTTTATACATAGAATCCAAACTGAAAAATCATTAGTCACTTGAAACAGTTCTGTTGTCAATGAAATAAATAATGATGATCGCATTGGAAAATAAGAAGATTTTAAAAAAATATTTCTCAGCATTTGTTAGTTATTCTTTCTTTTTGATTAAAAGATATTAATCGTAAGAAAACAAAGTTATTGTCTAGAAGAATAAATCTTGAAAACTATTGATTCGACTTAATAGTCTATTTATACAATATAAAAGCTATCGTTTATTCTTTCAGTTTTATTAGTCATGGATGGCATGATCTATGTCCATATATTATACTTGAATATTATGATCATGATTCACTGAATAATTATCTTCATTCACATAAAATTTCTTGGTCAATTTGTTATTCATTTCTTTTCTCTCTTATGGATGCAATTGATTATCTTCATTATGAAGATTTATCACCAAATGATTATTTAACATCAAATCGTATTCGTAAACCAATTATTATTCATCGTGATATGAAAACTTCCAATATTCTTATTAAATCAAAGCCAACTCTTAGTTTATGTTTAAGTGATTTTGGTTTAGCTAAAATTCTTCCACCAATATTAACACCAAATGATTTTATTCAAATTGGTACATATCGATATATGGCACCTGAATTACTTGAACTTGCTATATCACATACAAGTGATGCTTTATGTAAAGTTGATATGTATGCAATTGGACTTGTTATGTGGGAAATTGTTACACAATGTCAAGACTATCCATGTAAAATGAAATCAGGTTTTGATAACAAAAAAAGAAAAAACTAATTAACTTTTTTTGTTTCTAGGTTCTATTGACTATCAACTTCCCTATGCGGAATATATCAATACGAATGAAATGAATGAAAATAAAATTCTTGACACACTTCATCGAATTGTTGTTAACGAAAGAAAAAGACCTATTATACATCGAACAACAAATATGAATTCGGTATGAAAGATATAGAGGATTTATTATGAAGAGATGCATTTTTCGAATCATACTATGAACTAAAATTTCGCTAATGAAAAACATGTGAACTTTAGTTTCTCAATAATGAAATCTATCCATTCATTTCATTAAAGAATATATACACAGGGTGTCCGAATGGTTTACATGACTAAATCTTAAGCAGATTAAATGATTTTATTTAAAGTATGATAGTATATCCGTTTAAGTTTTATTTTATGTAATTTGGTTTACAACAAATGTTCGAACGAATTGTCGTCAATTAAAATACATAAATCAACTATATTCGAAATCTTTAAAAAGAATTCTACAAAAAGCTTGTTTTCAAATTAATTTATTTCCGTTATCGATTCTTGTTTTGAATAATTTCATACGAAAAAAAAACGAGTTCTACTAATTGTTGATATTTTCTAAAATTGATATCGAAATTTGACAACCAACTCAATCTTATGAATCTTTATGTAGCTATTGGATAGATCCTACTTCATGACTTCATTGAAAGATACTGTATCATAATTCGATCAGCTGTTGTGTGTGAAAAGAATTAACCGTATTCGAAAAATCAAAAACAGCGATCTCCATGGCTTAGCCTGCAGACTAAAAAATAGCTGATCCGTTGACAGATCTGATCTATACCGAATGAAACTTCAAACAATACAGAATAACATGCATGAAAATTTTTTCATATAAATCGTATCAATTGTATAAGGGTTATTTACGTAGGCTTTCCAGACAGGGTTTTGGGACACCCTGTAGACAAATAATCATTTATTTTCATATTCTTTTAGAAAATTTCTGATGTATTAACCATTATCGAAGATTGTTGGAAACATGAACCTGAATCAAGAATAAATGCTCGACCAGCATTATATCGTTTACGACATCTTGAATAACAAATTATCATTTATATATATATATAGATATATTCTTTTTTTTTTGTTTTGATAAATATATATATGTATATAATTACACTTGAATAAAATTTAAAAAAAGGTATACACACATAAAAAAAACTGCATTGATTGTTTTTTAAAAAGTTATAAAACCATCACCGGGTGCACACGGAGCAATGTTCGATGTATTATTCTGACGATACCATATATGATAAGTAATAAACCAAAAAAATACAGCAAAACTTGCCGCTATTAATTTATGTAAAATATTGTAAATATATAAAACTGTTGATAAAAGTAGAAATTCCCAGAGAACTGTTAATATTGCTAAGGCAATATAGAGTATTCCAATAGGTACAGAAAACATTTTCATACGATTTTGATTTATACTTAATGAAGTATTTGTATTACGAACAATACTAATTTTATTTGCATCTTCAACTTTTTTCCAATTTTCACCATATAATTTAACTTCTTCATTGATTACTAAAAGAGCATAAAGAAGAAAAAATGTATGTCCTTCTTGCCATTGATATCGACTAGTATGACATATTCGTCTCATAATTCCACGCATATCATTCGGTTTACACATGCCTGTTAAAGCTTCAATACGAATAAATAAAAATGTTATTATATACCATATAGTAGTAGCTATTAATAAACGAATTAAATGACGAATTATTAAACCATAATGACCACGAGTATAAATTAAACTTGTTAAGTAAACAAATGGAATTAATAAAAATATAGACGACATCCAACCTATTTTCGTTATATATTTATTAAAAACATTAGCTTTTGAAGAAAGAGATGTATTTGGTAAGAATTGAAAATCTTTTAAAAAAGGACCAATTATAATAAGACAAAAATAAACAAGTATTTTAAGTGTTGGTGGTGCAAATATAAAACGACGACAAAAAGCTAATATAACATTATGTAGAATACGAAATATATCCGATGTTAATGACGATGGGAGATCTAAAGATTTAGACATCTTTCGAGGTGATACTGTTGGTTGAGATGTTGATCGAAGTCCACTTTTTATTATCGTCGGTTGACTTGACCGTATTGTAGACATGACTAGATTTTCTAAAAATCATAAAAAAATTTTTTTTTGATCAAATATGTTTAAAGTTGTCGAATATCACAAATGATGATAATCAAAAAAGAAATAACAAAGTTATTATGTGTATTTTTTTCCTCATTATAATGTCTGAAAAGAACTCAAAGGTTATTGAGAAGATTCTTTTCTACGCAATGTATTTTCCTGCAAACCTCGAGATAATATGTGTCATTTATAATCTTTTCTGAATTAACATGCAACAGATTTATTACGTTCACTTTCTGTAAAATAGACGAATAATTAAAACCGTCACAATAAATAAGAAATTTCAAAGAAAACAAACAGCTGATTAGTTAACAGACAACAATAGTTTGCAAGGTTCTATTAATATCCAAGATCTATATAGATTCATGGAGTCTATGATTTCTTCCTATCAATCATAAATAAGCTAGATATATCCATATTTTACCCATATTAAGTGGATTTACCATCCTCGTGCTCGTTCATATAATCCAAATAGAATCAATTGTTATTAACGTATTCGTCTTTTCTTTTCTTTTTTTTGTTATTATGTCAACTATTATTTCATCATCAACATCTTCAATTTCTAATACCAATCGATCAATAAATATTTCTAATGAAAATACTAATGAAGAAGATCGTATTAATTTACAAGCATTACAAAATCGTGATCCATATATAACAAAAATAATTGATCAAGCTCAACGTGTTTGTGTTTATAAATTTATTGGTGAAAAACGTGAATGGGTAAAAAAAAGAAAAATCTTTATGTTTAAATTCATTTATATTTATTTTTTTAGGAACGTAAAGATCTTGAAGGAACATTGTTTGTTTATGAAAGGTAAATATTTATTCGTAAAATATTTAATCGAATTTTTTTTGGTTGATTTAGATCATGTGAACCTTATCATGGTTTTGTTATATTAAGTACTGTATCACGTGAAACATTTGTACAGATAATTAAATCATCTATGGAATTTAAACATTCACCTAATTATGAAGCATTTCTTCAATATAAAGTTGATGTCGGAGGTATTCATGAACAATTCTTTTCTTTTTTCTAATACATTTATTGTATATTTTGTGTCGATTAGATATTTATGGAATATGGTTTATATCAAAAAATGATTGTCCTCGTGTAACTGAATGTTTAAAACGGTGAATATAAAGTTTGAGAATTATTTTTTTTTTTTAATTTTAATTTTAATTTTTATTCTAGTTTAACAATACAAGCAAAAGAAGATGAACAATTGAAACAAAATCAAACAATAAATAATTTAAATAATCAAAATTTATTTTCAACATTAAATCAAGGTTCATCAGATATATTTTCATTATTAATAAATGCTCAAGAAAAATTTCAAGAAACAGTTTGTTTTTATTTTTATTTAGAATTTGTTTATTTCTAATAATATTTTATATATAATAGAAACGAAAACAAGAAATGAATAATACTGATACATTAACATCAATGCCAGCTGCATTATTACGTCTTTTTTCTACGCAAGATACACCACTACAATCAACAAATAATGATGAACGTGAACAAGAATTAAAAAAAACATTAGGAATTTTAGGAAAACCAGCTTTAAGTGTAACTGAACTTGAAAAACAATTATTACAACCATCATCATTCGAAATAACGAAAACTATGGTTAATTCTACAGGAAATAATAATATTAGTACAATTGAAAATTTCGCCAAACCTATGCAGATTGAAAATAAAGTATGTTCACTATGATATTACTAGGCGTGCGAGTCATTGAACAGTGTATTATACTGACTTTCATTTTTGGAGCTGCGCCGCCGCCGAAACAAAAAATAGATGATCGATTTTAGGCAACCAGAATCAGTTTTCAGGGATACCTTGTCTATAATGATGAACAAAAGTTTAGAGCAATTATGTTGTGTTTAATATTTTAAACCCGCATGAATTTGCACTATCAGTTCTATTAGTATTAAAACGTTCATAAAAAATCGACATGCTAATTATTTATTAAGAAGGTATTTGCATTATCATTTAGACTTCTATGCAAACATCACCTCACTCAATATCACCATGTGTTGTAACTAATTCTACAAATGATTGGACACCATCCAGTCAAAACTTTTTTAATGGAGTGAGTTATTAACTTCAAAGAAAAGAAAAACTTTATTTTTTTTCTATTTTTAGTTTGATACATTCTCAAATAATAATGGCCGTTTAATGACACCAGCTGAATTTCAAACATTACGAATAACTCAATCATCAGGTAAAGTAATTTAACATTCATTTGTTTAATATTATAATGATTTTTATTTTAAATAGCTTTCATTCCTTCATCAATACAAAACGATGTAACAACATCTTGTCGTCATTGTCAAAATCAACAAACTTCATCTATAAATCATTTTTCTAAAGATGCACTTCGACAATTATTAATTGATATGCTTCAAGTAAACTAGGTTTTTTTTTTTACTACACATTCTCATTCATTCTTTGTTTTTGTTTTACTTAGAATGACGAAGAATTTCTAACAGGTTTACATAATGCTTATACAGAAAAACAAAATGATCTACATCGAATCTATTCATAAAAACAAAACAAACAAATCTTTTCTTCTCAAAACAATATTTCTCTAGTCGTTATTTGTACGTCTTGAATATATCGATATATTTTAGCCAAGTAAAAAACATTTCCATCTGTTCATCATTCATAAGACTCTTTTTCTTTTGTTTAAATAAAAAAAAAAGCTATGATGCATAATAAAAGAAAAAAAAAGAGCACTCAAAAATAGTTAGTGGGTTGTTTTCTTATAATTATGTTTTGACAGTAGTACGTGGAACATTATAAATTCCTGAATGATATGTACCTTGACGAGGTATTGAATCAAATGTATTAGCACTAAATGCTTTACGACGTTCTGCATCAGTTCGAAATGAATCAACTTGATTTTCACCCTGAAAATTTTCACCAAAAACAAAAAACTAATTTGAACAAAAGAAAAAAAAAATAATAATTCACCTGAGCAAATTTTGGCATCTTCCATAATGGTTTTGGATCAACAGGAATTTTCGCTTGACGAAGAAGTGATGCTTTTGTATGATAACTTCCTTTAAAAGCATTCTACAAAAAAAAAAATGTCGTTTTTATCATCCACATATTCAAGTAAATTATATACCGCAGCATCTGTTCGTTCTTTTTTAAGTGTAGTTTGTTTTTTTTCCATTGTTTCAAGCCAATTATCAAGAAAACGATTTTGTAAAACTTCAACTATAGGTGTCGATGGTCTATATTATAAACAAAATATTAAAATAGATAAAAATTAAATTTGAATTACCTATTTGGTGTACCGAATATCATATCATCCGGAAATTTTTGTGTTTTTTTAGCAAGTGATACATCACGAATGAAAACTTTCTTTTTAATATCATGTACGGTTCTATAAAGAGAAAAATTTCAATAAAAAATTAAATAATAAAATAATAACCTAAAACGTGATTGATCTTTAGCTGTTGTCATGCCGGCTTCAAGTGCTGCTTTATTCAAAGCTGAATAATCACGTACAAATTCAAAATCAGGATTAGTTGCAAGTTCTTTTTCAGGTCCATGAGATAGAGCTAAATATTCAAATAGAATTCAAGAATGCTTGTTTATTTTTCTATTTAGTTAAGCTGCTGACTATTTGTAATTCAAAGCAAAAAGTTTCTTTTTTTTTGTTATGATTGGATACAGTTCGTTGAGTTAGCTTAAAAAATCAAGCAAAACCTAAAAAAACTGAAGACTGTCAAAAGAATCAGGTCTTGGTGAGTTTGATATTTATGTTCGCTACTTTCGAAACAAATTCTAATAGTCAAAATCTCTGCATATGAACCCATATTTATGATATTTTGCCATCATAAAGAAAAAAAAAATTCATTTTTTCCTAATCATATGATGAGTGAAAAAAAGCTTTCGAACTGAATCCAATCATGACAAAACAATTTTGCTTGAATTTCGAATTTTCGGCATCTTACCTTCACTAACACCGCCATCACGTCGTGGCATAGTTATGCCATATGTAAAACTTTGTGGAGGTAATCTATGACCTCGACGACGAGATCTACCTAATTCCGGCTAAATAAAATTAGAATTTTTTTTTATTCGGATGACTAACAAAACAAAACAAAACATACCAAAATTTGAAGTTCACTTTGAAGCATTGAGTCACGTTGATCACCAATAATACCTGTCTTTGTAAATTCATATGGAGACATATGTGGAGGAGTTTGGCTTCTGCTTCGGATACTACCATGTTGCTCGGTTTCGTTGCTCATTATTTTATTACCTTAGTGATATGTATTCGGTCTACAAAAAAATACAAAAAAAAAAAAACTTCTCTCAGTATGACCAAAATTAGTATAATGTTTCTGTTTTATTATTATGTTTGATTATGACAGCATAAAAATCAACAGCATTTAATTAGCTTTCTCACATATTTTTGTGATTTCTTGAATGTCTCTATAAGCACTTACTGTTGAGAGCGACAGAAAATGTTTACCGAATATTGCCAAAACGTTCTCACCATCTTGAAATGTATCACCTAGTTACGAACACCAAGATAAAAAATATTTTATTCATGTAAATCGATGTGAATTTATTTTATTCATCGTTGTAAAATTCAGAATTCAATATTAAATTTAGAATTAATGAAAATTAAACAATTTAACTTAGATGTCACTGATAGTTATCATGTTGCTTGCCAACAATCTATCGAGTTTTTGAATTTCTTCTATTTAAAAGAAAATTATCTAGCAAGCAAATAATCAATCATTACTCAACTATTTCATTGAGTAAATTTAAAATTGCTGAAAGAAAGAGTAATTAATGAAATCTTTTCTATTGCGTATTTTTACAATATTTGTTTTTTGCCAAGGGTAAAGATTATTCTAGCTTATCAATGACACATGTTTTGATCATTTGACATAATCATTATGACTTTGGCATACTGAGAAATATGTCCTAAATCAGACCAATTAACACCAGGGTATAGATTGACAAATTGATTATGTAAATGACGTACACATCAAGCACAAATCTTACAATTGCATATTCTAGGTAAACAGGAATAGCCTCAAGGTTGTTTTCCATTAAAAAAAAAATATCGAATGGTTAAGTAAAGTTTGCCAATGTTTATTCTCTATACTTACGCATCATCTTCCTACATAATGTATGGCTTGCTTTGTAACATCATAGATCTTATATATAACTATCTGGAAGGTAATCCTCTCAACTCATGAGGTGTGCGACAATATATCGATACAAAAATCATTCAAAACAGAATATAAGTCTTCCCGATGTATCTATAGTATGGCTAAATCAATTTGACATTCCTTTCTTATTTCGACCGTAATGTACATTAGAAATATTTCTATAAAAGTACTCATATTTCATGTTTATTAAACATTCTTGCAATGTTGTCATCACTGTTTTCTACAATGAGATGTAAAGAATTAATGCGACAGTACTCTGACGTTGATACGTCATTCAATGAAAAACAAATAAAAGAATTTTTAATTCAATATTCAATAATTCAGAAACATGTTGATATATGTCTGAGCTTATCATATTAAAAATATAATTCATACGAAATGCAATTTCTTATACATTTTATCTAAAAATATTTTTGGATAGTTAATGTTCAATGATAATATGTGAATACATTATAAGGAATTTATTTGAATTTCGACACGAAAAGGTACATGAAAAGAAAGAAACTTTTTCTTTGAAAACCATTTAAATATCAAAGAGTTGTTGTCAACGTACTTGAACCATTAGTGTCCTCTGTTGATATTTGTTCATATTGTCCTTTAAAAAGATAAATTTCAGACGGAGTATTTTTAATAGGAATTCGATTGCTACCATCAACATCAGATATTTCACAATCACCATCAGAAAACTCATAATTTAGTATAATATCTGGTGATAATTGTTGATCATTATTTATTTTCACAATTTCTTTTTTCATTTTATCTTCCATTGGTGAGAATGATCGTTGATTTGTTGATTGATAACTAAATCGATCAACTTGTGTTGATAGTTGATGTTTTCGTGATTGTTGTTCTTGTTGTTGTTGAGATTGTATACGAGATTGACGTTGATTATCACGAAAAAGTAATGTACATGTTGGTTCAAGAAAAAGACTTCCACAATTATTACGAAAACTACGATTTAAAAATGCATAAAGAATTGGATTAATAGCTGAATTTAGATAAGCAAATGAATTGGCAATAATTTTAAAATAATAAACAAATGCTGTTTTTTGTGGAAATATATATGCTGACATTATATATAATGTTATAGGTAGCCAACAAAGTGCAAAAACAAGAGTAACAACGGCAACCATTTTTGTTACAGCACGACGTTTTTTTGACCATTTAATAACATTATATTTCTAAAAACAGAAAATTTAATTACTCAAAAAAAGAAAATGAATTTTTTTCTTTATTACTGTTTTAGGATGAAGTTTATTTTCTTTTGAATAAACATAATAAAGTAATTTAGTGTATGATATTATTATTATTGTTAATGGAATAAAATAATAAAGTGTAATTGTATATATACAAAAATATTTTTGTAATTGTTCATCACTAAGTAATACACATTGTCGATGATTATCATGCACATTTGTAACACCGTAATGATAATAAAATGGTGAAGCAAATATACATGAAACTATAATTAGTAATAAGATCATTTGAGATAAAAGAAAAAATAACAATAATCTTATATTTACTCAACCAGATGACAACACTTAATAATAATACAGTTCTAGGTTTTCGCCATTTTAAATTTTCAAATGGTCTTACGACATAAATATAACGATCAATAGTCATTGCGACTAATGTTAGAACAGTAACAAGAACACTAATGAAGGATATAAAATTTAGAAGTTTACAAAAGACTTGATTGAATAACCTAAATGTCAAAGAAAAGTCATTAAATCATAGAATAATAGAAATTCTTGTTTACCAATGGTCTAATGTATATTGAACTACAAGAAGTGGCATACAAAATGCCAAAAAGACAATATCGGTAATAGCCACTAGAATTAAGAAATATTTAATAAAAGCTTATTATCTATTTAAAATTATTTACAATTAACAATAAAACAATTTGTAACATTGTTTAATTTTTGAAATCGAATAGCAACAAATATAACGAGACCATTACCTAATTTAAAATGAAATTATTTTTCAAGATAATACTTTCTAAAGAATAAATTTATTTTACCTGTAATGCCAGCAACAGCAATAATAATCCATGCACAAGCAAAAGCAATACGTGTATGCAATGATGGACCATTTTCATCCGAACTATAATCACTTAGATTACTCATGATAGTTGTATTATTATCCATATCGAAAAAAGTGTTCGCAATTAAATATCAATATGAAATTCACTAATCATAAACGATAATTTTGAATTAATCTGAAATAATAGCTATTATTGCCTATCATGCTAGGTAAAACAAAAAAAAAAAGAGCATCAAACCTCATATGCAGCATTTTCATCACAGTCAATTACTCTATTCTTTTTCTTTTTTACCTTAATAATATTAATAAGCACGTCCAAAAAATTAGAATTTAGATTGCTCATTACTGATATGAAACATTGTAGTTTGTTGGAAAGTCAAGAATATAAAATTATTTCCATCTGGTACCTATATTGCTTTTGACGCATTTAGATTAAATTTATTTTCTTCAACTGGCAGTTGCCATATAAAAAATGAAATGAAACAGAAAAAAAGACCGCGTGAGATGAAATATAGAGAGCTATTTGTTGATGCTACGTGTAAAACGCAACTACTGTCAAGAATAACTCGTGAAGTTTTTTTTAGAAATGAATAGATGGTTCAATGAGAAAAAAAACTTGAATTTTTATGCTCTATTTCTCGCCTTTTATGTTTTATCGAAGATCTAAAGAAAATATCATGTCTGATGACCATATGTATGATGATAGACGGAAACAATCAAGTGACAGTGAAGAAAAACAGGAAGACGAATGAGTACGAACAGGTTTCATAAGATGGATTAAGAGTCATGCATTTGGTGTATCATTCCATCTAATGCATTCCAATTATGCAGCAAAAGAAATTAATACTTATGTCATGCCGTAGAGAGCCTAGGTAAATCTATTAGCAACAAAATCTTATATAACGATGAAAAGAGCTTAGTTAGAGATGTAGTCACTTCTTTCAGGTGAGTATTTTTCTTTCCTCTTCAGAATTACGTGTCACTTTTTAAAGCACATGATAAAAAATGATTTGTGTTTTCCTCTGTTACCGGAAAAAACAACAACAACAGCAGATCTACATGATTATCTGGTCCTTCTAAGAATATCTCTCGTATGAAAATATTATTAAAACAAAAAACAAATATAAATAAAAAAAATATCATACTGGCAACAAGGCAGTTAACAAATGATCGAAGATATTTCAAGTCTTGAAGATTGATTTTAGTTAACATGCGTGCTTTTTAACATTTGTGTTTATGCACTTTCTATGTAAAAATAAGTTATTTCAACTAATGTGTTGACGCACAACAAGGTTATAGAGAGAAGAAGATAAAAACAAACGTCGGAAAAGAAAAAAAAAGAAGAGTTGTCATCTAATATCAACAAAATTATTTTTAAAAAATTGAATAATAATCCACTAAAGTCATCTCAAATAACAATCAGAAAATAACATTATGATATAGTTTTCAACAAAAACAAGAATTTTCATATAAAAATACAATCTATTCTCAATAATTATATAAAATCGATCTATCAGACTACATATCTTAATAAGTATAACGGAAAGAGATGTCTTGAATAGATGTCATGTTCTCGATCTAAAGGAGCAAATATTACCAACATAACGACGCCGAGATTAATGCGTACATATAACTAATACACTTGTTTATTTTCTTAGGAATATCATACTAAGCCTATTTTTATATCTAGCTTTGATTATTAATGAAAAAGAAGCTTTTCAGTCAATGTAAGTCCAAAATCCAATGTAGAAAGATGCAACGTGTAAGAGACAAAAAAAATCGGAAATTATAGAACTGAATAGAACATGTTTATATTTCATCTGATATTTTTGCTGGATTCAACACGTACCGGATATTAGAAAGCATAGGATTTAGAAACAGAAAATGTAAGGAGGCATATGGGTCTTATTTCAAGTAGTATATTGATAATATCTCAATAGAAATCCTGTGCTAAAGTATTATGTTAATGCAAAAAAAGAAACTAGTGAGTTGACAGTCATGACTTTCATACTATTCTCTTTTTATGCATTGAGATTTAATTATGAATAAAATGATGACATAGTGTTATATAATAACAAAATAAGTCAGTTCTATTACAGCTAAACTTGATTAATTACAATATATTCCTAATTGCAGTGATATTTTCTTTGCTTTATTTCTCAGTATCATCTTCAGACTTCATATGATGTTTTTATTTTTAAATTTCATTTAAAAACTAAATCTTTTCAGATAAAAAAAACTTTTTATTTGATCTAAAAATTGACCTTTATATAATAATTTGAATTCCACTAGCAGATATTAATATTATATATATTCCTATTTCTTTATCTTTCTTTTGATTCATAATAATCATATTTTAATTCATGTCGATTTCGTGTTATACCATATCGTATCGCATTCTCGCTCATACTTAATTAGTGATAAAAGTACTTATGGAAAATAAAGTCTGAAGATGAAAGCAAGAAGTAAATAAAAAAGAATAAAGAAAGAACGTTGAAATATCACTATGGTTATGTATATTAACTATTTATTACATTTTAGCTGCAATAGAATTGTTTTTGTTCTGTTCTTACATGCATATTTACTTCGATTTTCTAAACAAAATAGACATTATGCTTTCTATTAATCTTTCATCATTATTTTGATGATTCTCATTCGGAGTATCGTACATCACAATAAAAATTATTCGCATGTCTGTTATTATTTCTTTTTTATTTTGTCTAATTATGTATCGGTTTTTCTTTCTTTATTAACTAGAATCTCTTGAGATAAAGATTGTAATAAGATACATTTATATAGATATTAAAGTACAAAAACAAAAACAAAAATTGCATAATTGACCACATACTAATGTTAAAAAAAGCCACTCATCCCAATAGGGTGCAAGTTTTTTCAAACAAAAAGAAAAAAACACGCTAGAAAAGCTATCGAAAAATAATAAAATAACATGACGATATTGTATGACAAACTTGCAGTACTAAAACGTCGAATAGAAACTATTTTTATTTTTGATGAAGCTTAATCCTACATAGAAAATGCTAAGATAGAATGAATATATAAAGTCATCTTCGCCTTTCTTTTGACGAACAACAGATGCTTGATATTATTTAGAGAAAACAAGTTTCACGGTAATAGAAAAAAATCAAAGGTGACATATAACATATAGACGGATAAAGGCAACGCATAACATTTTACATGATATTATTATTGTTTTTTTTTTTGTTTTTCTCTATGATTTTAGTTAGTTAATTAGAAATAGAATCGATCATTCGAGGATTTATTTAAAAAAAAATTATTAACACTTTCACGTAAAACTCACTCAGCAAATTGATAAAATTCAATGTAAAGACTTTTTTACTTGTTGAATCTTGTTTTTTTCTAATGACGTTATTTCTATAATAGGAAAAAAATAATATTAATATAGTAGAATATTAAATACGTTTATTCACGTGAAAATGACACGATTATAATTGTCAGAAAATGAAGTTCCTTTACCGTTCAAGATTACTCCTTATTTTTGATTGATTAACACTAGATTGTGTCTTCTTGTCAGTATCAATCATGAAGAAGAAGCACTTGATCATTAAGAGGCAACCTACCGACTCATGCTATAGTTTATATGTAGATTTCTTGACAGTATGACGCATTTGAATTAAGCATGCATCATTATTTCTTTTCATCAGTTTATTAATTAATAATTAGATACTCTTGCTATGATAAATATCATGGTGATAAATAAAACAAACATTCAACTCGTATGCACGAAGTACACATTAGCTTGACGTTTATCATTATTTACAATCAATAAAAACTCATTATCTATGACAATATTATATCGCATAAGCCTATTACCAAAAAATTTAGGAATTAAAATTCATGATAATGACATAACGATTAGTGTAAAAAGTTCATTTAGTAGTACAACCTATCTTGACATTATTAAAAATAACATCATTGTTTCATGTATTTATATTTTCTGATAGTTCGAACTTTAATCAAGTGCATTGTCTTGTACAAGACAAAATTGAACTTTAAACTAAATTAAACTTAGAAAGGATTTATTTTTAATTAGGCACAAAGCTACAAGATAATTTTCGCTTGATTGCAGTATATACACCAATAACTTCTTCGTCGATATTCGACAATGATTTTCGAAAGTATTTTTCTGAATAAGTGAACTACAATGTTAAATTTTTCGAGTAGTCAAATCCAAGCATAGGAAATACATAAACTACAAACTTCATTTTTCTTAGTTCGAACATAACTAAAAAAAAACTTTAATAAGATAATATATTATACTCTACCTATTGTCTACAAACCAAGTTAAACTCAAAGGTAAATAAACTTCAATAAAATATACTAGTCAACAAGCATAAACTTGGAAAACCTTTTCTCTTTTTTTATCAGAGCTTGCTAACCCAGATCGAACTCACCCCATCGGATTCGATGGGAATTCGTCGGAATTCTTGGCATCGGATTCCGACAGGAAGTTGTCGGATTGTTCGTCCTGGGAAGATTACTTGCGACCCATAGAGTTAAAAAAATGAAAAAAAACTTTCATGAATTTTATATCAAAAAGCACGAAAAAAATGACATTTTTTATGATGAAATGGACAAAAAAAGTTGATGCTTTTCAAATTCATTAATGAAAAGCGACATTTTAATTAAGCAAATATAGTGAATTTCATTTTTAATCAAAATCATGCAATGATACTAATCAAAATGTCTATTTTAATCAATGAATTTGAAAAAGATCAGTTTTTTGTCCGTTTTATCATTTTAATGCCATTTTTTAACTTCCTGAGGACCTCCGCAGCTTTCTAGATTTAGTTAGATTTCAATTAAAATTGAACATAACTTAATATAAATATATGAGATAAATTCGTTGTTCTCATCTTTTTCAATCTTCTTGGTTTTTAAATATTTTAAGAAGTCTGTTTAAGTTTGCCTTGATCTTTCATCCTTCGTATCTCGACTATCCTATATGCTCTAGATCGAAAAATTTGGATGGAAACACTCCACTAAGAATTTCGGTTTGGCACGCGAACTTACCTCGTTTGTTGAAATAAAACGAGCATTATGATGGATGGTAATGGATCACACC